GGTGGTAGGTCGACAATCTGGATTTAGTTAAACTCAACACCCAAACCCATGGCCAGCCTTCACGTGGCGCAAGAGCGTGTTCACCCGCCCTGCTTTCTGCATGGCCCTGGCAAGGAAGGAAGCAGGCTGGAGGAGATCAGGTTTTGGCTTCAGGGCTACAAAAAAAGGTTGCTGGCACAAGAAGGGATTTGTTGCTGGCACTTGGGGGGCCGTAAGTCGGACGTTGAGTGTACCTCCAAGGCCCTCATCCATGACTTCGGCGGCAGCTAAGGAGGTGCCTGTTCCTTGATACGATATCTCCGTGCATGGCTGTAGACCCTTATTCCCAGCAAGCTTAAAGATGCAAAACAGATTAGGAACTTGGGGTTTTGGATGGTGTGATGCTACCTGAATCCTTCAAAGGGCAAAATAACACACGTTGAAGAGACTGTCTGGATGTTGCGACCTCATGTAGGAACCTGACTCGGAAACCCTTTATCTTATTCGGGTTCCTGATACATGTACGCATGCATGTATACGAGCGAGCACATATAGAGAAAGAGAGATGGAGATTGATGCTAAAGCACGAAGCACGCCCAGGCAGCCTCCTCTGGTTTGCAGCGAATCCGTCTGTACAAACTTTTCAAAACGCTAGTGCTTCGAGCCGACAGGACGCGGCAGCTTGGGGGGTCCGGATTTCCGATGTTTCCGGCCTGGTGTTGAGACTTCCTGGTGGGAAGTCGATGGCCTGAGTGGGGATCCCATCAGCCCAATTTTGTCGGACCTGCCCGAAGCTGTTCTAATCCCCATGTGCTCAGCATCCGCAAGCAGGTCGCCAGGGGCCAAGGGTTTGGGAGTGCTGGGCTCGAGGATTTCGGATTTAAAAAAGTTACAGGCCGGCCTAAGGACGCCAAGGGCTGCAGAAACACAGTGACCGAAAAGCGGAAAGCCCTAAACTCCTTCTCCAGAGACCTCCAGCGCAGAAGCAGCGTCGCCTGCAAGCAGGTTGGTGCGTCTTCCCCTTGATGTAAACACCAGATTCAGCACTGCCCTGCATTAAGGACCATGATGGCCGAAACTGCTAATAAACCTCGTTGCCTTGTTGACGGTAACGGAGGCACCCTGAACCGAAAATCCGATCACCATGAATTGAGAACCCCTCTCGCAGACCGAAAAGCCTAAAAACCGAAGCTCCCTTAAACTGACTGGCCTGGCAATGAAGCATGAGAGCCGACAGTTGGGGTTTCGGGTTTAGTCAGGGCCCGCGGCTCTACTCGACGTTGAGTTTTGAAGGGCTGCACGTGCTGAGGCTTGGTCTAATCCTGTTAGGGTGCTGGCTCCATGTGTTCTGGACCTCGGCATCCCAGTAGAAGACCTCGAAACGAGGTCCCTGAAACCCTCAATTTGCAGCTTCTGGCTTGAGTTTCGGGAGATGTAGGATTTGAGGCTTATGGATGCAGATGCTCTCCTCGAGTCCAACATAGACGTTTTCAGACAAACCACAGCATTCTAAGCCATTCTAAGCCCTAAGTCTGAAACGGCTCAAGCTCTAATTAGACTCTAGCTCCTAAGACCCCAAGCCCTAAACTCTAAACTCTGAAGCACTCAACCCTCAGATCCACCCCAAGACCCTCCTAGACCTCACCCCGAAAGCTCCGACCCCGAAACCGTCTGGGCAGCCCCACCAGCGCTCGTTCTGTATAGGCTTTGAGCACCAGCGGGTCTGCGGGTAACCTGGCGGCTTCGGGGATCCCTCAACCCTCTAAACTTCTTAGGCGCTCGGCTTCGGAGGAGTCGGACCTCGAGGCACCCTTTCACCTTTTTGGACCTTGGAGGGATCTTAGGCGTCCGGTGTAGGGTTTAGAGCTTCTTTAGGAGAGGCTGGCTGCAGCGATGCACAGTTCAGCGATTTGGGTGTCAAAGAGGAAGGCCGAAATCGTTAAAGGGGGTTGGATCTTCTTGGCTTCCTGCGCTCCAAGCCTCGGAACTTGAATGTCCTGAACCCTGCAACCCAACCCCTGCAACTTGAAGCCTCAACCCTCAACGCCGGAATCCTAAAGAGAACACCTATTTCTACACACCCAACATCTCACAAAAAAACGCCTAGAGGAGCACTCAAAGGCTCCAGATTTCCCGATCCTACAAGAACGGCGACGGGCAGGGCCTGAGGCAAAGCTTCTTCAACTCCGCGAAGCCGGAGACGCTCCTTCGATATGCGACACTCCGAAGCTTGATGCAGCACGGCTTTTGGCTTTGACCTCAAACTCCTTCAAAACTCTGTACCCCAAAGGCCTGCAAACTCCTGATTCGTGCAGGTCAGCCGAAAAAGCCCTAACCCTCAACACAACCCCTAAACGAATGCCAATCACGGCCGAAACTTCGAAAGAAGGCCCAAGCTGCTGGTGGGGGAAGGCCACAGCGCCCGAAGGGCCGCACATCACGGCACCGCGGTCGAGCTCTGTGCTCATGCACTCCCTCAGGGCTTGGGTTTCAGCGCACGGCATGCATGCATATCTATCTATCTATCTATCTATCTATCTATCTATCTATCTATATGTGTATATATATATATATTTGTTCTTTTTTTGGGGGTGTAGGTTAGACGGTACAGCGTTGGGATTTTTTGGGTAGGGTTCGCAGGTGGCGGCATGGAGGTCCAGGTGCCGAAGATTCTCTTCACAAGGGCCCAGATGCCAGAGTTCCGCACCTGTGTGTTCAACTCTTCAACGTCAGTGTCCGACCCCAACATTCGAAAGCCCTGGACCCCGAAACCCTATAGAGAACCCCGAAAGCGAAATCCTAAGACCCCAAACTTCGCTTAGACTAGAGCCCTGCCTAAGACTCCCAAAAAAACCAGAGTTCGCCTGACGTGGAGGTCCCGCTCTTCCGGCTTGATGTGGAAGCGATCTAAGAAAGAGTTCACTAGCCTCGGTCTCTTGGCGGTTGCTCATTTTCTTGCCTCTCTCTTGGATTCTTTTAGTGTCTGTGCAGGGATAGGGCGGATACGGATAGGGGTTCAGAGTCTTCCAGGGTGTGCAGTTCTTCCGAGAGCTCATGCCAGAGTTCTGGGCAGCATTCGAGTGTAAAGAGGACGTGAGCTCGTAACCCTGTTCTATACGGGAAATGCAGTCACGAGAAGAAAAGAGCTTATGCCTTGGGCCTTTGGCGACTTCGGATTCGAAGTCCAGGTTCTAGGCCTAGGGTATCGGGTATCGAATCTAGGACGTAACACTTAAGAAGTCAGTCGCGTGGCGTCGGCAAAGCTGACGGTCTCGGCAGTGTCGCCGACATGAGGATGGTTTTGTACCTCTAAAGGCGCTGCAACCGTGGACCCTTCAATAAAGGCGCTCGCGTTTCTTTTGCTTGGGGGCTTCGGGGGTCTCGAAGAAAAAGACCATGATAGTGAAGCCGGCCCGCATGCCAAAAGCAAGAACTGGCTCAAACCGCCTGGACATGAGCCCTTGCCGAGAGAGAGGGGCTCGAGAGAGAGGCCTGAATTACCAATAGTCTGCGGCACAGGTTTCCGGAAGCAGTTGCAATATTCAAGCAATGACAGGGGCTCACATGGGCGTCATCATGGCTTGCATCATTGCGCAGGCCAGTGGGTTGTCCTTCAACAAAGAGGCGCTTCTCAGTTTCGGGCTCAGGAATGAAAGTTTGGGTTCTTGGCTTTCGGGGGCCTAAAAAAACCCTTCAGACCCTTTCTGCCCAAGACAAGGCAAACTAAAGCCAAACTAAAAGCCCAGGAGTCGGAGCGCATGAGACAAAGCAACAAAAGGCAGGTGCAGCAGTCTTCCAAGATTGCACGAAGGATTCACGACCGGTACAGACTTGGACATCTCAACGCCCCCTTAAGAATGACCTATAACACCAGACCGATTAAAGTGTACTCCAATACCGATCCTAGCAACGTCGCAACCTCTAACCCTGAAGCCTAAACGCCTTCTCCACCCTTGAGCCCAGAAAGCCTTCTACAACCTGAAACCCTGAACCCTAAACCCTAAACCCCCAAACCCCAAAAAACCTAAACCCCCAAACCCTAAAACCCTAAACCCCCAAACCCAAAACACCCAAACACCCTAAACCCGAAAGCCTAAAGCCGAACCCGGGTCCTCGGGGTTCTGCGGGTACACGTCGCTACCCATGGGCGGCTCGTCGACCACCAAGATGGTCCTGGAGAGTCTGAAACCCAAGGACCGTCCTGTGTCATCGTTTCGGGCCTTACAAGGCTTAGAGCATTGAGGGTTTATAGGGTTGTAGGGCTGATAAGGCTTTCAGGGCTGATAGGGTTTTTGGGTTTAGGGCTTCGGGTTCATCCGAGCTTTCTCATGAATCGTTTTCTCGATTAAGAGAATGTATGGCTGCCCACTCCCAACATATTTTCGTACCTTTGGGCCCTCCATCTTCCAACATAAGTTCTGAACCCACGGCTCCTCCCCTAAACCCTGAAACCCTCGGCTTCCCTGCTGCGCGCCTGTTCGGGTCGAGCTGCCTTAGAACCCAGGAGGCGCTGGCGGAGTCGCACATGAGGAAGATGCCTGCCAAGCAGAATAACAACAAGAGCAATTGTGACAATGATGACGATGATAATGAGAACAATAAGAATCATCATCATCATCATAACGCTAGTATCAATGACACGAGGATGCCTTCGAGGCCTTCTTGCGGCTTCAGGCTTGGGGTTTTCGTGCTTTCAAGGTAGGGGCTTGTTGGAGGTTTTAGGGGTTTACGGAATTGCTGTGCTGGGTTGAGGGCTCCAGGTTCAGGGCTTCGTGGCATCAGGGCTTCGGGTTCTTGTATAGAGTTCATTCAGGGTTGAGGGTTGAGGAAGATGCGTCAGCAAGAATGGTTGCTCATAACAAGCATCATCCCACTACTGGTATACACAGCAGCGAGCACCACTGCAACTGCCGTTCACAGCAAGGAAGAAGATGGATATCGTCAGCTTCATAACCATCATTGAGTCATGACACGAGAACGTCATCAATATTAAGTGTTGCAATCCGCCCTTGCCGAGGCACGCGGGAAGCGCTTCAGGTCATGCAGATTGCCTTGCATTGAATCACCATTGGGTATGAAGCTGTCGAGCTGAGGCTTGCGCTTGGGTGTTCTAGTTTGGGAGTCCTTCTGTGACATCGCCGCAGTGAAAGGCCTCCGGAACATCTGACAAGCGCACTGGAAGTTGGATGGTAATGTTCTGGTGATGATGCCGATAGTTCTTTAGCCGGTACCGCTGGTGATTATGATGATGACGACCTCGACGACAATGATTGCGGGTGATGGTGATGGAGATGGATTCTTGATCCTGAACAGGCAGCCCACAACACCCACCCCTTTGATCGCGTTCGACAGTGAACCCGACGATTTGGACGGCACAGCACCGCTCTCTGGGCTGCCAGGAGGCGCTTCCTCTTCTTCTCCGCTAGCCGCTTCTTCTTCCGCTCGAGATTGAGCTTCACGACCTGATGCCCGAGCCGAAGATCGGACACAGGGGGCTTCATGGAAGGCTTCATAGAACACCCTGTCTTTGATCGGCAAGAGTGTGCCGGCAGCTGTCAAGTTAAGCCCAGCGGCCATGTATCTCAGGCACTCCGCAGCAGACTGGGCCGGCCTGAGTCGAAGCGCGCGGGACACCCGGGCTGGGCCTCTTATAGAGGGTGGACGTTGAAACTACAACTTTCCGGTATCTTCAGGCATATGCAACAAGACATGTTCCGATTCCTTTCGGCGTTAGCCTTACAGTAGCAATCTCGGAGCGAGTTCATGTGGGCGAGCGGAACTTCGAGACTTGAATGAGTTATTAATTTCTGTCTGGCCAGCCAGCTCTAATAGGTCCTTTTGTCGAGATATCGGTTTACCACATCGGATCGAAGAAAAGCTTGAGGACCCACATCCGAAACCCCACGTTGAAATCTTATCCCTGAATCCTCAACCGTCAAAACCCTAAAACCCCAACCCTAGTCTCTCGCCTCAACCCAAAAAAACCACAAGCCCTCAAGCCCACGGCTCAAAAAAAGAATGAGCTCCCTTTTTTTCAGCCGGGCTGCTTGTTGGGCTCCGCTGGCATGTCCACATGGGTCCCCAGGCCGCGGCCGCAGGAGTAGCTCGGGGTGATCCTTCGGCCTTTGCCTCGGAGAGCCCGAACCTAAAGGCCCCAAAGTACTATAAACCTACAAGGGGTTTAGGGTACGCCTAACCCTTAAACCCTAAACCCGAAACAAACAAGAGAGAGAGAGAGGAATATCGAAGTAAGTGTGGTATGAAAGTCGTAATACCAAGAACTGTCACGCGGAAGACGAATAGTAATACTCTAGATTCTACTGTAGAATCTCCTTCACCGGCCGTTCTCTCGGCACACGCCCAACATGATGCAGGCATGGAATACTACTGTAGTACTACAAGCACCACCCTGTCAAGCAAGTCTGTCTCGAAATCCCTCCGAGAATTAAGCTAGCACCAAAAGCCCAGCAAAACCCGAAACCCCAAGAAAAAGAGCGGCCCAACTTCCAAAACCTCCCAAAGTTTTGCAGGCCCAAGTCCGAGCCGCAGAAGGCATAGGGAATTCCCAGAGTGTTGGAGATGCGGCCCACGCTGAGCACCACAGGCAGAGCCGGGCAGCAGAAGACAAGCCTCAGCATATGATACAACATATATATATATATATACACACATAGATAGAAATACGTAAATAAACATATATATATGCACACACATGGATTTAAGGTTTCGGCTTTGGCCGGACCCCCCCACACCCCGCACTTCTCATCGAAATCTCGCACTTTTGTCTCCGAGGATATCAGCTCAATCTCTGGGTCGTCGTCCAAGTCGATTATGTCCATGACGTCAATCACATCCATGGCACCTGCAAACTGCAGGAGTTGCAATTGGAGTCATAACAGTCGTCGCCGCTTGAGCCGCTGATTAAGACTGCTGCCACACCCTTGGTCTGAGAAGCCCTAAAACCATGGATGATACCCAGCGCCTGAAAAACAAGAAGAAGGGAATCAGGGTTCAATTTTGTGTAGTCAAACGTTACGTGAGGCGCCACTGTCAGTTGCGATTTTTCAGATATTCAGACCTTCCTACTACCGGTCTAAAGCTCAGTCCCAAATCAGCGCCAAACCAGGACCTGGGTCGAAGGACGGCGCGTCCAGAGCGCGAGCGCTCCTGCAGCCGATGCCATAAATATGTGTGGTTGTCGAAACTACAGTAGGGCCCGTTTCCGGGAACCCACATGAAGGCGGCACCCTTGCAAACAAGGCCCTCGAAAACGGACCCCAATTTAGCGAACTACCCATGAGTGGTTTGTGTGTATGTGTGGGTGGGTGGGTGGGTGTGTGTTGCTTGCTTTGCTTTCCAGATTTCCTGCCCTTGGTGCCTGTTGATCTCTAGGTCTTTCGGGACTTTGGGTTTTGGGTGAGTAGTTGGGACTTGAAGTCCTGCACCAGACCTTAGGCCTTAGGTCATCGGTTTAGTGGTCAGGGTTCGCGGCTGCGCAGCTTGACTCGAACCCCATGCGAGCCTCGAGTCGCTCCGAACCCTCAAAAGCACCGACGGTCATGCTTCAGACCGGGTTCTGTAAAGGAGGCTGTTGAGCTACTACTGTATAAAAGGTACTGTAGCTTGCTATAAGACTCTGAGGCTGCCTTTAAGTCACTACGAAACCCAGGAACCCAAACCGGGCCCCCGGGCCTGGCCGGGGCGGCAGCCTCGGCGGCCTTGGCGACGTCCGGCGCTTCTGGCGGGGCCTCCCCCGGCTTTGCCTCCAAAGACCCAAAAAAAGCAGGTGCTCTTTTTCTTGCTTTTTTGAGTTTACAAAAGTTGTGTAACTGTGAGCGGTTGTTCGGAGCTTGAAGATAATGGGAGGCCTCGAGTAAGCTCGAATTCGACGCAAAGCCTGAACTGCTGAACGGCCAAGCTCCTCCACCCTCCGCTGAGGCCTGTGTCCTAAAGCTCCGAAATCAGCAAGGCATAAGAGGAATATCTCACAACTTCAAAGATTCACCGAGATGTGCCAAGAACTCGAAAGCAGCGAAACGCCCTAAAGGGTAGACCCAAGGCATGCTGAAGCCCCCCGATAAGTGCCAAAGACAACACCACAAAGAACAACCCGAAGTCTTCTGTGGCCACCCCGAAGCGCCGCCTTCGGCCGAAAGAAGCGCGACAGCGTGACTGCCGGGGCTCCTGGCACCACAGGCCCAGTCGGAGGTTTTGATTGGGAGTCGAACCTTGGTTAGGAAGTTGGCGAGCTGATGGACCATCGATGCCTTGACTCAGGGTCTTGGGTTCAGCTAAAGTATAATATAGCAGTACATATGATAATATGTACTGTCATGGTATTTATAGAATACCACATCAGATAGTATCAAGCACCTGGTGGGACAAGGCCAAGGAATGGCTGGATCTCTCTCAAGTTAACGTGGGTTTGGAACTTCTGGGCATTTCATGGGCCTTAAACCCCGAAACCCTAAACCCCTAATAAACTCCTAAACCCCTAAACCCTTGCGAAACCTTTAAAGCCAAACCCCGAATTTTCAGGGACTTACGGTGTCGGTTCCAGGACAGATCTGCCTGCAGGGGCCGTGGCGTTCCCGCTCTCCGGCGCGCCCTTCCGGGCCGCCGCCGCCGCCCCGCGCTCTGGAAGCATGTCTCCTGGGCTCAAGCTTGGGACGAAATCATCCTACTCAAACTGACTTAAACCCGAAAGTAAGCGTCTATACCCCAAGCCCTATAAACCCAGATCCCCCTGCAATCCAAAGCTCGGTTCCAGCGCACCTCCTCGCGCCGCAGTGTGGGCGCCCAGGTCGGTGGAAAAGGCCGGGGCAGTCGCTCTGCCTCCGCCTCAAAGGGATTGAGGCTCGGCTTGGAGTTTTCGTAGCGGGGTTTAGCTTCTGTTTGGGGGTTTAGAGTTCAGCACCGTAGCAGCTTTCATGACTTCTTGGCCTTTTTTTGGTAGGTCTCAGCTGCAGGCCCTTGGAACTCGAGGTTCCTGTGAGCGTGGTGCCATTTCTGGTCCCGTTGTGAAAAACTGCTGGCTTTTGTGATGATCTCCCACAATTGCCATCACAACATGGTCACCGACAACCTCCCTGTGTGATGCTCATGTCTAGTCATGATCTGGTCTGATGACTCTGGCCTTGCGGAAAACCATCACCTCGTCGGCGTCAAGCTGTGCCCCCACTTTCTCGCGAACAGCTTCAGGCAAACGCCTTCATGACTTCAGCATGTGTAAGGGTTTCTTGGTCGCGCCAGTGGCACGGACGAGACTAGCTTCGTACCGGCTGACATGGAAGCAGTGCGCTATTTCGTTAGATTTCCGTTCACGCTGAACTCCAAGAATCCCCTGAAACATTTCTGAGATGCCACTGGCGATGATGGCGAAGCTAATGACCAACATCGTTCTCATCATCAGAAGAAGACGTAATACCCACGGTTTCTCAACGAATGGTAGGGACAAAGCCGCCAAGGATCCAGCAGCCCATCTCCCCGGGGCAGGGCACGGGAGTCTTGAGCCGCAACCTCGGATGGAGTCCTCGACTCAGCCATTCCTTGCCCTGCCATGACAACGATGTCTGTGCGTATTGCAACTGTGATACTTTCTTACTGTCATCCGTTCTCTATGATAACTATTACTATCAAGAGTGGTGACTGGTGCCATTATTAGCATCCCCGAGTGTGTGATGAGGCATGCTAAGGCTACTTGCTCCCTCTCTGTCTCTCACTCTCACTCTCACTCTCTCTCTCTCTCTCTCTCTGCTTGTGTGTTGGCGTAGTGAAGTACGAGGGAAGGCTTTAGGGTTTGAGCTGCAGCTGGGTCATCCACAGAAAATCTCTTGGGACATCGGCTTGTCTCCACTCTAAGAAGAAATTCCACTGCCACGTTCGGCCCGAACCTGCAGAACAAACTCACAAAGAAGCGCTGTTGCTCTACGGCTGTGGGTTCATAATACCCACAGCGCCCGAAGTTCGAGAGCCTCAAGAAAACTAAAGCCCATTCACCCGAGGCAACGCCGGAATAGCTGAATCAAAGCCGAACACCCCATCGGAGAAGCAAAGCTGCGAAGCCGAGAGGATGTTGCAAATGGGGCCACCGGCGTGCGGGCCTAAACTGACTGCCTTTCGGCAACTTCCGGGCTTGGGCTGTAAGTTTCCTGAGAGGTGTATATGGCTTTACAGCGTAGGGTTGGAGCTTGTGGGGCTCGCCGTTTCGGATCAAGTCCGAGGCTCTAAATGTGCAGCCCTCGACGTGCTGCACATCGCCAGCGGGGCTGTCGCAGTCCTGGCAAAAGTGCCGAGGCTAGGGCATTTGGGGCTCCAGGGCTTCAACGGCTCTAGGGCTGTTTCCCCTTTGGGGTGCAGGGCTTTCGGGGGTCCTTGGCTTCCGGGTCTGCTGAACTTATGGTGAACGTGTCCTGGGAGCACCCCATTTCCGCCCGCAGCTCGGGAAACCGCACCTTCGGCTTAAAGGACCAGGGTCAGGATGTAGGGCCTTGGGTTCAGGTTTCGGGTTTGGGGGCCAAGGTCCTTTCGAGTTTGGGGCTAGCGCGGCTACGGCTTTAGGTTTAGGGTTTGGGGTTCGGGGGGTGTGTGAGGGCTCACCGCGACCTCCAAGCAAGCAGAAGTTGGATGGAAAGCTGGCTCTCAATCTTGATTTAAGCTTTACCTTTCGTCCCTGTTTTGGCCGACCAGTTCTACGATATAGGATCCTGACCATATATCTACAATGGAGACTTTGGCGGTCACCTGGTGATGCGAGATGGGATTAGATCGCAGAGTCCCTTCACCGAGCACGTTGGCCGAATCTGCTTTGCAACCCAAGAAGTACCTCAACAAGTTAGCAAACAGATGCAAACACACAGTGCCCGAAACTCGTGACCTCTTTGCTTTAACCTGCACCTGCAGGCCTCGTCTCGAAGACCTGCCCCAAGTTTCGAAACCTGGCAGCTCCTTGGCCCCGAGCCCTTAGAACCTTCCCAAACGGTGTTCGAAATCCCCCTCTTTGCCGGAATGGCACCGATCTCTCGACAAAAGCAGCTCCTACCACGTAGCCCTTCCTGGGCTGCAACTCAGAATTCAAGGTTGGGGCTCGAGGGAATACGCCCTTCACATGCGAAGTTGAACTCACAAACTCCAGGTTCGATACCTGAGATTCACATGCTTTGGCATGCTAGGAGTTATAGTGGCTTCGGACGCAAGCATTCCATGCGCCCGCGCTCGATTTTCTTTGGTTCGTTACCCAATAACTTTGCCACACGAACCCTCACTGCTTTTTTGCAAACCAAGCCATGTTACGGGCACTTGGAATCCGGCGGCAGCGGCTTTTCTGCCAGCTTGCGCATGATAGCGTCCTCTGCGAGACCACATCGAGGGCCAAGGTTGAGAGTGTCGGAAAATTTACGAACACATTTGTGGGACCTTGAAAACTCAGAGATTGAATCTGCAAATTGGGCAGCTTGAGCTTCGTCAACGAAGAGCTTCCGGCTTAAGGGCTCTAGGTAAATAAGTCCGATTTAACGTTTACCCTTCCACAAAACTTGCAGCTCGCTTTAGGGTTTGGGGTATGCTTCCAACTCAAGCTTTCAAAGAAGTCTATATGCTGAAAACTGAAATCAAAGACCTGAAAGTCAAAACCCGAAAAGCCCAGACTAGGAAACTGCTTGCCATGGAAATCCCAAGCCCGACATCACCGAGATCCCAGCTGCTCTGTTGAACTAAGCACCGGGCCAATCGAAGGTCGCACTTCCCCTGCAGCAAACAGCCAGGCACTTAGACTACAGCTGCCATCCAGGCTTCCGGTGAACAACATGACCCCGAACCCAAAATCCTAAACCCTGACCACGAAGCTTGTCAAAACAGCGAATCGCCCGCATGGAAAACTGCGGGCCTTCCCCGTGTGCAGAGCAATCCACCCCAAAGGCAGGTGGACGGATCGGTTCTCGACGTCCTGGCACTCGGGTTCTAGGAAGTTCATGACTTTCCTGGGCTTCTCAACACCCTTAAACCCTAAATCCCAACGAGGACGCCTGAACTAAACCCTTGCAAATCGCAAGTACCTCCAAATCCCCAACACTTTCACAGGGCAGGGATTTGCAATGCTGTCGCAGGGCGCCTTGTATCCGTGCAAGATTGCTTCGGTGATGACGCTGCCTTAGGGGGTCTGTTTAGGGCTTCACGGCCTTGGTTCTGGCTACAGCGAAAGGCTTCAGGTTTGGGCGTTGGGGGTCACTTCCGTCTGAATTCCGTGGCTTTCGGGCCTCAGGATTTTCATTCGGGACAGGGACCCAGAACATGGAGAAGCCCCAAAGGAGCACAAACCCCTCAAAAGGCACTGGTTGTCCCAGCCACCTTTCAGGGTGATCGCCATGGAGATGTCTGTCGGGGGCTCCTGGAAGCAGCAAGGAGGAAAAACTTTGGGTTTGTGCCTTCGTCGTGTTGGCTTAAGTTTTGAGGTTTGGGCTTGCGGATCTAGGACATGCAAGAAAGGAACGGCAACTGCTCATCTTGGGCGTGCAAAAAGGAAATGGCCGCAAACGCGCCCTCCCTGTCGGCTAGCGCACGCACTGCCACAGCCCTGCAACCCCTGCTGTTTGGCCAGGCTCCAGGGACTTCGACGTCGCCGGCGCCGAGCGCCGGCGCTTGGCGGGGGGCTGGGCCATGGCGTCAAAAAGTGAGGCCCGGGGGTGGGGGACCGTGGCGGGACGCGGGGCTCACTGTTGCGGGCTCAGGAAGCTTGGAAGAGGACTTCAGGTCTCGGGTTGAGGGTTCGGGGCTTGGGAGGGTTTGTGGGGCGTCTGCTTGAAAGTGCTGCAGAGTCCAGAAGACCCGACGGCTCTCGAGACGGGAGCTCTCGACTTTGAGGAAAAGAATCAAAGCCAAGCCCCTCACAGCTCTCTGCCTGTGTAGTTGCAGGACCCGCGGGGTTTCTTCGGACTCTTACAGATGTATCGATGCCATAGATTTTCGAGCTTGGTCTGTAGAAGATTAAGCTGGAAGGTTCGGGGGGAAGCAGGATTTCCGGTGCAGGGTGCGACATAAGTTGAGGCGTTCGGGCAAAGTGCCCCGATGAACCTCAAAGCCCTACATTGCAGCCCCTTAAACCGAAACCCCAAACTCAAACCCTTGCCCCTCTAGGCATCCACGTGATAGCCAGGCAGCGTATGGACAGGAAAAAGGTTCCTCGGCGCCGTGCCAGTACAGTCTCAGGTCAAATGATCTCACAGGTTGCTTCGGGCTTGCAGTATGAACTTCAAGCTCAGGATTTATGAGGAAGCTGCGCACATCCTCAAACCCACAGCTTCGGCAAAGCCAGTGAGCGATAGGTCCTGCACCAACACTGTCTGAACTGAATAAGATGATGCCCGAAGCTCAGAATGTGAGACACGACGGCGGTCTTGCCCGTGCCAGGCGGTGCGATGCCGAAGACCAGCTGCGGTCCTCCGACGCTCTCCGAGAAACTTAGATGATCCTGTTGTTGCTGTTGCTGCTGAGAGCGAGGACCAACAATGACAACCCATGCCGGATCGTAGCTTCCGTCCTGGCTGGAGGATGGCATCGATCATCAGCTCCTCCGGACTCGACAGCTTCGCGGGTGGTTAAACGTTATCAGCAACCATGGCCCTCCAGGCCCTTAGCATGCATGGGTAGCAGTCTGCGAGAAGCGACCCCACGTATGGATCCTACTAATCCTCATGAGACAGTCCGCGAATCGACAGTGTTCTCGGAAGATCCGAGTAAGGTGCTCTGTGCACAGAGCATGACAACGCAGTGCAAGGCGTTTGGGTGCTTTGAGTTGTTGCTTCGGGGTGTAAGGCCTGGCTCTGGGGATGAGACAATGGCTGCCCCCGAGCTTCCGCGCTCGGACTCCCATCGATGTTTAGTGTATGGTTGAGGGGCTCTGGGCTGTGGCAAACGCGAAGCTGACCGATTCTGTAGACCGCACCTGGATCTTGAACGGCTTGAAGACCGTGGTGCGGTGCTTCTTGGCGAAGCCACCTCGGCACTCATTTTCAGGGGAGTTGGGAGAGTGCAGTTTACTCTTCCGCGTACGCAGCGAACTTCGAAGGGATGTTCTTTGAACAACAAGGACTTCGTTAGACCTTCATATTCGAAATAGAGGGAGTTACCTGCTTGCCAAATTACCCGCATAGCAATGCTTGCTGGTGCAATGCATATCTATATGTCCATATGCCGAGGTTGTAGCTGCCAGCCAGCAGATGGGCGCCATTCTGGAGGTACCACAGGAGATCGAACTTGGCCTCGGAGAATTTCAAAGGGCTGGTGCAGGGTCCAGCGTTTGGCTCTATTAACGTAGGTCCGCTTACGGTTCACTGTAGAAGTGTTTTGCACAAGAGCCCTAGGCTTCAGGTGTAATATGCTCATTATGGGTTCTCCAGTGTTCGGGGATAGCCCTTTTTTGTGCCACATGGCTCGTTACCTTTGCATGGCTGTGCCTTTGGTTGAGCTGTTGTCTTCTTGAGGAGTTACTGTAGGGCGCGAAGACTTAGACTCCAGGGCCGCGCTCCTGCAAGGTTTTCAGAAGCTCAGAGAGGTACTTGCCAAAAACCCTCCCGACCGGAAGACGCGCACGCGTGCCTGGATAAACCAGGCACATCCTCGCAAGACTGGACTGAGACCTAGTGCAAAGAAAAATACCGTCTTTCTGTTGCCAGTTTGTTGTTAAGTTAGTACACTCTTGGCATGATTAGTCCTGTTATTGCTCGGGCCATTGCAATATTATTACTCTATCTATCTATTTATCTATCTATCTATCTATCTATCTATATCTATATCTATCTATCTATCTATCTACAAAAAATACATATCTATATAGAATATATCTATTTTTTGTGGTGGTCCTTCTTGCTGCTGAGGCGACCCCTGCCACGGAGCCCTCGCGGAAGCGAGTCTGCAGGGCCAGGGCGTCCTGTAGCGGCAAGATATCCTGCACAGTGAGGGCTGGTTGGAGACTAGAGTCACCTTGCGTTCTTAAGTTGCATGGTTCAGGTTTGAGGTGTTTAGTCTTTCAGGCTTTTTTGGGCTCAAGGTTGCTTCGAGGGCATGTAGTCATTGTAGTCAATACAGTGGAGTCTGAGAGGAATATAGCTCGTGACGGGCTTGTTGGGGCTGTCTGCTTGTAAACCTGCACTAAACAAAGCTGGCTACTGTTTCTCCTCTGATCCACATTCGGGTCGGACTCCGTATGCCAGTCCATGAATTCCTTGACTCCGGGTCTAGGCGAGGAGCTTGCGGGCTTGCATGTCTGGGGAACAGGGCCCAACTATGAGACTCAAAACCCGAAAACCGAAACAGCACGAGGCTTGCTGCAGCTACAAGGGCTCAGCGCATGGGGCATAAGTGTGGGTTGAAGGGTCAATTGCGAGTTTAGTTTCACGTTTCGGGTGCCAGTCTGTTGGGGTTTTTGCGCTAAGCAGCCAAGAGGCGAAAGCCCCAAGCAGACCCCAAACTCGCAAACCTCCAAAAGCGACCTGAACTTCTTTGTGAAGCACCCCCAAAAAAAGCACCGGCGAGTGCCGGCCTCCAGGGAGTTCTGTGGGAACTCAAAGGAGTACCTGAGGAGGGACAGGGAGCTACAAGGGATTCCGACACTAAGTGGGTTTAGGGTTTAGGGTTTTAGGGTTTGGGGTTTTAGGGTTTTGGAGCCCCAATACCTCTAAACTTATATGATGATGTTGCTAAGCTTTTCTAACTCGAGACAACCAGGTGGACATCATAGTCCCAAACCGATTGTGTATCGGCTTTCGATTATGGGAGTTTCTCTTGATGTCATTGTCATAAGATATTCTGGTGTCATTGCCATAGTTGCCGTTGTCGCTGTGGTAGTGGTGTAAAGGTATGGACGACTACCCATGACAGTGTTGCTAATGATCATGATGGTCATGGTGGTGACGATGATGCTGAAAATGATCCAGCAATGACTCTGACTATGACCTGGCAAATCAAAGCGGTGATTTCTACGATCATCCTTGCCGAGCTGGGCGGCTGCTTCTTGATGAGGCCGATGGCGTCGGCTAAGGACTGGCACATCTCCTGGGTCGAAAGGTTTGGGGAACCTGGTGAGTTCCTGAAACTTTGCAAAAAGCTTTTTTGGACCCTAAACCTCTGAACCCTAAGCCCCCAAACCCTGAACCCTGAACCCAAAACGGACTCTTGGAGCAGCGGGATGAGCATGCCTTTGGGGCCCTGCTCTGACTTGGAATCGGGGGTTTCTGCGCGGCTGGACGCTTTTCTCTCGAAGCTGATGGATCCCAAACCCTACAACCAAAAGTCCAAAAGCTCGAAACCCAAAGGCTCCACACGAACAAGATTGTCAAAGTAGACCTAGGCCCTGAATGCCTGAAGCCCCTAAACTCAAAAAGTCAAACAAAACAGGCACTGAATACTGCCAAGAGGGCGTAGTAGAGGTTGAGGTCGGGAACCTCCTGGGGCGAACCAGCGGAAGGCGCTTTCTGGGGGGGTGTTTGGAGCTGCTGAGCTGTGGTCTTGGCATGCGAGCTCTAAGGCTTCCAGTTTGGGGTGTCGGGTCCAGGTCTTGGTTTTAGCTTGGTGTGGCAATGATACGCCTTGGGCTTCCCGTAGAAACCGTGAGATCCGCAGCGAGGCTGAGAACCCTGGTCCCTCACACCACAGATTTCCCCATTTTAGACCATGAAACCCGCATCTTCCCCCAAAAACTGCGCAAGCGAGAGCCTTCTTCTTCTTGGCGCTGTACTCCAGCGCCATGGACGTTCGCCTTGGAGGGATGTTGCGGTTGAGGCCCTGAAGGGTCTACTGTCCTACTGGTAGAAACTTTCGGTATTTCCTTTCTCCGGGTTTTCAGGCTTCTGCGCTTGAAGCTTCTGAGCCCGGGTGGGATGAGGCAAGCATCTATAGCCAAACGCACAAACCCAGACTTCCTGAATTTTGAGCAAGACTGCTTCTGGGCTTCTCGGCGGTACCTTATGAGTTTGGAGTCCTGGAGACTACAGAACAAAGCGTCAACCTACGAGGATCCTACCGCACTTGCATGCTGGAGACCACAACCCCTGCCTCCTTCAGGTGGTGCACTTCTTGGATCATCCTGGGACTCCCAAACTTGAGCAAACTTCTTGCACAGCAAGGCGCATGATGTGCGCCAGCTGGAACTCCCAGGGAGTCAACCTCTTCCAGGGGCTCGGAAAAATGGCAAATTCTGGACTCAAGGGAAACACGGTTTCGGAGTGTGGGTTCCGGGACGTGCGCTCGGAGTTGTGGGGTTTGCGGGACCCTCCCCCGAAAAGAAAAGCCTTCTACCTGCCCGAATCCGGGCTCGTGCAATCTTCGGAAAAGCTTGGATCAGCTCCGGTTCGCGCAGATTCTTTGCTATCGGACCCTGAAACGTGGAGCCAAAGAGCCGAAAGTAGAAGATCCTGACTTCAAGCACCGGTGAGTCCGTGGTTTCGCGAAACCACTAGTCCGGAGTCCTAGCCGAAGCAACAGATCCCAGAACCTTGAACTCGAAACGAGACTCCCTGTGAACCAGACCCTCAAACTACGAAGCCCAGAACCTGAAACCAGGCGGAAACTCAAAAAAACCTGAAGCGCTGCGAGATCTGGAACCTTCTTCCGGCCTGGGAATGTCTTTCTCATCCACCAAGTTCACCCATCCGGTGGTGATCGTCTTGTTCTTGCCGGACCTCGTTGGAATCGTGGGGGTCCAGGTAGGGTTTGGGCTCATTTCTGGGTTTTTGATGATTGGCCGAAGACCTTGGGATCGGGAGGACTCGAAAGTTGGGCCTCGGGTTTTTTCGGCCGCTGGGCTTTCGAGGGTGATGAATTCCTAGGGCGCGCAAAGGCCGAAACTCCTGAAATATCCAGAACGAGCAAAGGTGCTCTCCGTAGATCATGTTCTTGATCAGGTTTTGCACCTGCCAGGTGGTCGTCAGGAGTTGATGCTTTGAAGGGCATGGCAACCCCAAAATTCACAGAAATCCTTCTTTGCAAGGGTTTGTCACGGCTTGTCCATCCCGAATCATTCGTCTGGAAGCCAACGGCTTGCATCTTGGATCTTGTAGCTCCGCCCTGTTTCTTTCTCATCTCACCTTTCACCCCAAACACACAAGCACCATGTCTTCAATCCCAAAGGCACCCCAACCACAGCGGCCCAAGCACATAAGACATAATAAACCTTAAGGCCGAACGAGCCCGGCCCCTGTCTGTCTGCGGAACTCTCGAAGTTATCTCCTACAATGCTCCGCGTTCCCGGCGTGGACCTGCAGCTTCTCTTTCTGGTTGAGCTGCACCGCATCTTTCTTCTTTTTCTTATCCTTAGTCGCGCGAGAGCTTTGCATGAAGCCCAAGTTTCTAAATCCTGAACCCCAATTTCCGAAGTTCCTCCGTCCCAAATCGCAGGGTCCAAACTCCAATTTCCGCGTGACCCCAACAACCGAAGTCCTAAACCAACGGGCCTGCGCACAAGATCCTACAGCCGAGGCGCTTTGGCGTCTTTCTTGTCCTTCTTATCCTTCTTGTCATCCTCTTGAGCCAGCACTGCATCCCTATAAGGCTGCTCTTCGTTCGGATTCAATCTTCGCTGCAAAATTGCCAACTGAGAGAGAACCAAGGCACTGCACCTAAACACATGGACAGGTCCCAATAGCAAGCTTTCACAACAGAGACATCGCGCCAAGCTTTCAGGGAAGGCATGGCGCACTGAACCCAAACAGGAGTATACGGCCCTAAACAGCCCAAACAACAAACCCCAAACCCTGTTCGCAACCTCCAGATCCTGAACTCCAAACATCCATGGGCCCTCAAACATCTCCACAGAAAAACTCTGATCCCCCAAGACTGCTAACAACCCAAAAAAGTCTCGGAAAAGGCTCATGTAATGGCGGGAGCCCGGGGCCTCCTCTTTCTTGTCCTTTTTGTCCTTCTTGTCCTTGTCGTCCTTCTTGTCCTTCTTATCTTTCTTGTC